GGACATGCTATGTACTTTTTCACAGCAACTCTCTCGATTTAAAAACCCTCTGGCACAAACTGGATGAATGTTCGTTAATTCGTCCTACAAAAAAGATCGCCACGTTTATATAAGTATGTTTTAAATAACGTGAACATTTCAAAAGTGGAGCATCGAATTTTTAATCGTTTCAATGTTGCAAACGAAGCTGCCTGTCACGTAATAGCAGAGAAATTTATTTATTTTGACTCGGTGAATATTTGTGAATTTGTTATGCCCTGTAAAAAAGATCGCTAGCACGTGGTGTAAATTGTACGTGCCTCACAGCGTTAGGAGTAAGTGACGATTAAACGACGCGAATCATTAGGATTCCCAATAAGTGAATATAAGAGGACCGTATCTAAATGAATTTGACTTCGGACTAGAGTTTATTTTGCTATGTACTTGATGACTCGAGAGTCTTCAAAAAATTTTTACGTTTCACAAGCTCGGAGTGGATAGAATTTTTGTGACATTGTTGAGGGAAAACAATTTTCTATTGGTTTAGGTAAAATTCGGGTGGAGATGGAAATACAAGTGACGTATGAAGTGGGTCTGTTTACACAAAGTGACCGTAGCAAGTGATAAAACCAAGCAAAACGTCGATATGGATAGAAAATTGCAAATAAAAGACTCTACTGCTAAGGTTAAAGGTTCATAACATGATCTACTATTCTATAAGTGTGAAAATTTAGGAGTCTAAAAATTTAGAAGTCTATATATTTAAACAGCCACAAATTTAAATTCTAGAAATCTAAACACCGAAAAATATAAAAATCTACTAACCTAAAAATCTAAAAATCTAAGAATCTAACAACCCAAAAATCTAAAAATCTAACAACCCAAAAATCTAAAAATCTAAGAATCTAACAATCCAAAAATCTAAAAATCTAACAACCCAAAAATCTAAAAATTAAATAACCTTAAAATCTGAAAATCTAAAAATCTAGAAATCATTAGAGAACAAAAGAATCCGTAAACTAGAAAATTTCGAAATACAAAAACCTGCAAATCCGCGAATATGTGCTAGGAAATGTAATACATCAAAATCCACAGCACAGCGATTTTTCTCCCCGAAAAATTGTAAACAACGGAAATTCAAACACGAGCATTGACGCCATAGTCAAACATGGCCGATAGAAAGGTTCTTTTAACGAAATAACGGATCAAACGTTATGGTAAAACACGCGGAGAAAAAAGTAGAGCAGATATCCCTGACTGGAATATTTTTATTTAACCATCGATAAACGTTGAACGTCAATGCTTTGAGCCATTTCGTTCGCAGGATATTTAATTTGATCCGGACCTTTGTGAGTCTCATCACTCGTGGAATTTCCATATAAATGCGGTGAAAAACTTGCAGAGTGATAGTTTAAACACAGGCTCAAATGCAAATGCGTTTTCGTTCGTTTCTGCCGAAAAAAAAGAATGTTTGCCTTCTGTTCCGTGTTCCTGATTTTCGACAGTCGATACTGCATGTTGTAGTCGCGACGTGTTTCAAAATGTTTCGTTCGAATTTAACCTTTTCGGCTCGATAATACTTCTTTGTTCAAAAATAAATCGTGAAATATCTGTTCGTATAACAAGTAATAATTTAATATAATAGATGCAGCATTTAATAATTTTATGTAACAATTAAATGTCACTAACAATGTTGTTAATAATTATAAATTCAATTAATTTAATACACTGATTAATTTGACTAATTTATTTAATACAAATTGTACAGTAATAACTTGGTACTATAATGATATGTTGATCGACAATGAACTTCGTATAATTTCATATAAATAAAGAATTATAAAATACTTTATAAATAACTTACACAAACTATAAGGTAATTTAACAACATAAAAAATGAAAAAATAGTAAAAAAAGTACTCGTATTATTTCTATTTAAAGTCAAAAATATTATAAGAATGATGCGGACAATTCGTCGATGTCTGCACAAAATGGCTGACACGACAATACATCAAAAATAAAACAATATTATGCTGTGTTTAAGTAATCCTAAAAAAAAAACTAAAGCAGTTTAATTGAAGATAAAAGTTTCTCTTCTAATTTTCACGGTGTTTTTACGAAACATTGACGAAAACGTAACGATCGCTCAGAATCGATCGATTTACGAGCAGGGTCGATTACTCGGCTGTAAACGCGATCTTTCTTGTCCGTTGACGATGAACTTTATTACGAAACGTGTTTCGTTTCCATAAACTGTTGAATATACGCACGTTCTGTATCAAGTGCTATTTCCTGTTTTATTGTTCGTGTGTCTGTTACAGCAACGCTCGTAAATTTATCGAACTACCGTTGCTTTCGTTGTTTCAATCATTCTTCGTAAATGCAAACGTTTGTGAAGAACGCAAACAACTGTTTTCGCGCTGAAGTTCTGGGGACGGTGTTTTCCAAATAGAAGCTTATGTAATTATGGAAATTGGTATTTTGTGATTAACAGGGAAATATGTGTCCGTGAGCAATGTTATAAAATATGTATTTTATAATGAATATTGGAGAATGATTTTTATAATGAATTTTAAAAAATGATTTTTATGATGAATGGAGAGAATGAATTTTATGATGAACATAACAAAATGAATTTTATAATGAATTTAGAAACATGATTTTTATAACGAATTTTAAAAAATGATTTTTATAATAAATTTAAGAAAATGATTTTTATAATAAATTTAAGAAAATGATTTTTATGATGAATATAAGAAAATGAATTTTATAATGAATTTAAGAAATTTATTTTTATAATAAATATAGAAAAATGTACATATTCTATGACACATGTGAAGATATGTATTTTATGATGAATATAAGAGAATGAATTTTATAATAAATTTAAGAAAATGATTTTTATTATGAATATAAGAAAATGAATTTTATAATGAATTTAAGAAATTTATTTTTATAATAAATATAGAAAAATGTACATATTCTATGACACATGTGAAGATATGTATTTTATGATGAATATAAGAGAATGAATTTTATAATAAATTTAAGAAAATGATTTTTATGATGTATATAAGAAACTGAACTTTATAATGAATTTAAGAAAATAATTTTTATAATGAATATAGAAAAATGTACATATTCTATGACACATGTGTAAATATGTATTTTATGATGAATATAAGAGAATGAATTTTATAATAAATTTAAGAAAATGATTTTTATTATGAATATAAGAAAATGAATTTTATAATGAATTTAAGAAAATAATTTTTTAATGAATATAGAAAAATGTACATATTCTATGACACATGTGTAAATATGTATTTTATGATGAATATAACATGAATGAATTTTATAATAAATTTAAGAAAATGATTTTTATGATGAATATAAGAAAGTGAACTTTATAATGAATTTAAGAAATTTATTTTTATAATAAATAGAGAAAAATGTATTCTATGACACATGTGAAGATATGTATTTTATGATGAATATAAGAGAACGAATTTTATAATGAACTTAAAAATATGATTTTTATGACGAATATAAAAACAAGTATTTTATGATGCATAGAGAAAAAAGTATACTATCATACATAAGAACATATGTATTTCACCATAATGAAGAAAAGAAACATTTTATTATCCTCACAAAAATAAGTATCTTATGATAAACATGGAAATATGTATCTATTTTATAATGAATTTAATAATGCATTTTGTGACGTGAAAATACGATAAGGTACGTATTTTATGACAAATACAAAAATGTGTATTTTATAGCGAACATAATAATATATATTTTATGATGAATATAGATGTATGGGTTTGTCTTACGACGAATTTAATAATATGTTCTTTATGATGAGTATAAAAACTTGTATTTTATGGTGGATATAGAAATATGCATTTTATGACAAGTATGAAAGTATACTGCGATAAACATGAAGATATTTAATGTTTTTCTGTCGACTCGCCTAATTTTGAAATATTTTCTAGATGAGTAAATTTCTTTTTCGTTTATTTTACAATCGGAATTATATTACAATCTAAGTTTCACCTTACAATTTAAATTATATTAGAATTTAAGTTTCACCTTCAAAATTAAATTATATTAGAATCTAAGTTTCGCCTTAAAAATTAAATTATATTCAGATTTGGAACTCTAGAGAATTTAAGATTCTATGAATTTTGTAACTATTTTGGGGTTCTAAGGGATTTTGGGATTTTAGGGGTTTAGGGAGTTCTAGGAATTTTTGGGTTCTAAGGATTTTTGTGATTCTAGGGGTTTTAGGAGTTCTAGGGGTTTTAGGGGTTCAAAGGATATTGGGGTTCTAGAGAATTTTGGGATTTTAGGAATTTTGGGTTTCTAGGAATTTTGGGATTCTAGGAATTTCGGGATTCTAGGGATTTTGGGATTCCAGGGATTTTGAAGTTCTACAGATTTTTAGAGTTCCAAAGATTTCAGGGTTCTAGAGACTTTTGTGTTCTGTGGAGTTTGGAATTTTAAATCATTAAAATCTAAGTTTCACCTTAAAATTTAAATTATATTAGAATCTACGTTTCATGTTACAATTCAAATTATATTAAAATCTAAATTTCACCTTAAAATTTAAATTATATCAGAATTTAATATCACCTTAAAATTTAAATTATATCAGAATCTAAGTTTCACCTTACAATTTAAATTAATAACCAAGTTAGTGATTTTACATTGCACAAATAGTTACGCAGCACCAGAGACCTACATTGATAGAAATATCTGTCGAGATTTATGAGTTGAAAGTTTTATCAATGATCGATCCAAAGGTTCGCTGTCAAATACTTCAGGATTCGAGAGTAACGTATCCTCGACAATTCCGAGGCGATCTATAGCGATGGAATAAAACACAGCTGCGCTTTAATCTTCTGGGAAAACCGTACGAGTAAACGGTGAAACAAACGATTCCCGTGGCCACGTAAAATATTCTCGATTAACGAGCACGAGAATTCGAGAGCAGAGGAAAAAGTTCAACTTACCGAGAGAATCGTCAGACCAATTTGTTCGTAGATCTTTCGACAGGAAATACTGCAATAAGAAACGAAAAAAAAATTAACGAAATGTTCCCAATATCCACATATTTTTCTTTAATTCTGCTAAAATATATTACGTGAATTAATTCTTAAATTTATTACTGTTAATTAGATGTATTACTCTCAATTTTATCGCAGGTATATTACTCTTTAATCGCAGATAAATTAGTATCACGGTTAATTAGATAAATTACAACTTAATTGTACCACGGTTAATTAGACGAATTAGTACTTAATTTTGTCACAGTCAATTGGACAAATTACTACTAAATTTTGGAACGATTGATTAGATAGATTGCTGCTTAATTTGGTCACAGATAATTAGACTAACTTCTAATTAATTTTACCGTAGTCAATTAGTTACTATTCAATTTTATTAAAATTAATTAGCTAAATTAGAATTTAATTTTAAAACGACTTATTAGATAAATTACTGTTTAATTTTACTACAATTAATTAGGTAAATTAGAATTTAATTTTAAAACGACTTATTAGGTAAATTACTAATTAATTGTACTACAATTAATTACTTAATTTTGAAAAAAATAATTAGTCAAGTTTCTACTCAATTTTGTTACAGTTTATTGTCTGACATTACTAATTAATAATTAAGTTAATTTACTCATCATCTGATGAAATTAAATAATAAATAGCAAAATGGTATATCAAGAAATAGATCTCGAAATAACTCAATATGCTGATTGCAATTTTTCTATTATTTTGCAGTATAAATTTAATTATCAAAAACTGGTTAAGCTAGTACAAACAATTTCTAAATTTTGTTATCGATCGAACTCACTTCAATTATATAACATAACCTCTTTTGATGCCTAACCTATAACATGTAACCTAACTTGTAACTCAGTCAACCTTATCAATTACTCATACAATATACGACTACTATTACTAAAATGTGTTTACTAAAAATATAGCAAAATATTGTATATTAAAATTACTAAACTACATTAAACTTTCTAAGTTATATTTAATAAAAATAATAAAATATTATACGTCCAAAAAACATTCAAGAAAATTGTCTCTATCACAAATTTCTCCTAAAACCAATCAGATCAAAAATAAATATACATTTCACTCAAATAAAAATAACACGCAGATCAAAGCAATAAATCAAATGTAAAATTAATTATTTCCAATGCTCGTTTTCGCGTTCACTTAGAATCTTCAAAGTTCGCATGCGGTAAAAGTCGAAGAAAAAGTAGGAAAACATCGTGAGACGTTAATTAAACAGAATTTCCGAGCATCGACGAAGGTAAACGACATTAATCGCTTTGTGTATCTTGCTAACGTCCACGAGCGAAATAGTCAAACACGTGTATTATATATTGACATCGACTGGTGCCATTCGACACACGGAAATGCTGCATGACGTGCGAACTTGGTGTAATTAATTAGCGAAGCAATTACGCCGCGTAATGAAGCCGCGCGAACGAATCGGAAACACGTGATGCGTTCGACCGAACAATACTAATTTAGGTGGTAACGAAGACCATACTTCACGAATAACGAATGTTATGTCAATTGCATTTCGACGTTCCGCGTATGACGGATTGATGTTAGGAGACGAGAATTGGATGCGGTAATTGGAGAGTTTGAGGATATGGGGATTTCACGGTTTAGAGATTTAGGGATTTAGGGATTTGAGGATGTGCTGATTTGAGGAATTGGAGATTTGGAGATTTTGGAAATTGGGAGATTTGGGATTTGGGAGATTTGGGATTTGGGAGATTTGGGATTTGGGAGATTTGGGATTTGGGAGATTTGGGATTTGGGAGATTTGGGATTTGGGAGATTTGGGATTTGGGAGATTTGGGATTTGGGAGATTTGGGATTTGGGAGATTTGGGATTTGGGAGATTTGGGATTTGGGAGATTTGGGATTTGGGAGATTTGGGATTTGGGAGATTTGGGATTTGGGAGATTTGGGATTTGGGAGATTTGGGATTTGGGAGATTTGGGATTTGGGAGATTTGGGATTTGGGAGATTTGGGATTTGGGAGATTTGGGATTTGGGAGATTTGGGATTTGGGAGATTTGGGATTTGGGAGATTTGGGATTTGGGAGATTTGGGATTTGGGAGATTTGGGATTTGGGAGATTTGGGATTTGGGAGATTTGGGATTTGGGAGATTTGGGATTTGGGAGATTTGGGATTTGGGAGATTTGGGATTTGGGAGATTTGGGATTTGGGAGAATTGAAACTTGGGAGATTTGGTAATTGAAAGATTTGGGAATTGAGAGAATTAGAAATTGGGAGAATTGGAACTTGAGAGAATTGGAATTTGGGAGCATTGGAACTTGAGAGAATTGGAACTTGGAAGAATTGGAACTTGAGAGAATTGGAACTTTGGAGAATTGGAACTTGAGAGAATTGGAATTTGGGAGAATTGGAACTTGGAAAAATTGGGACTTTGGAGAATTGGAACTTGAGAGAATTGGAATTTGGGAAAATTGGAACTTGGGTGAATTGGAACTTAGGAGATTTGAGAATTGGGAGATGTAATAATTGAAAGCTTCATAAATTTTGTCTTTCCACAAAAACTCTCATTTCGTAAAAGCAGTAAGTAATCAACAGAGGTCCTCGTTTCACACCTAAATGCATCTTCGAACTCGCAGTGTCGTCAGTTTATCAGCAGGACAAGAAAACTGGTCGTGCGAAACCTACGGACCAACCTATCTACGACTTAATTAGAAGCATTAATATGGATAAACTGAGAGGCTTCAGTCGAAGGATTTGCATGTTGGCCGGTTGCCGACGAAGACACCAGAGGATTTTCGCCATTTTCTCATCGTTTTCGACAAGAGCCAGATTTACTTTAAGACTCCACGGATCACGAAACGGAAAGTCAAGATCTCTGGATACGCGTATTGCTTTATGATCTTGCACTTTCACCGGGATATATAGCTCAATAGACCGTTATGACTTATGACTTATAACGAACTTAATGTAAGTCCTATTCGATTAATAAATACTTTATTAACAGTAGGTTTACGAGACGCATTTTGACGCATTTTGAATTTTTTGGAAAATTGCAAATACCGTTCGCATTTTTATTTTATCTTGTACTGACTTTTATTCGTTGAACGAGGTAAATATATATTAAAGTCTATTTTCTTCAAAAGGTTTGAAATATTGAAGTCTGCTATGTGGTATACCTATCTCTATGTGCGTCAATTTGACGCGATCGTAATGTAAATAAAATTTTTAGTAAATTAGTTTTACCATGCAAAAATTACAACAATAAATATGAATGCACCGACAATATCTTATAAACGACGGACTTCGCTAGTACGGAGTCGCACGCTGCCGGCTCAGTCCGTGTGCAGGGTTCGGACCCTGGTCGCAATACAAATCGCAGTTCACAGGTTAGGGAAGTAAATATATGAATGTAAAATATTGAAGTAATGTACTAAAATATTATTGAATAATAAAAACTTTCTATAAATATATCTCATATTTTCATTTGTTACTTGTAGTGTTTAATTATATTGCTTTCTAAGTGGTTTTTCTTTAAATGTATTCGTTCATGCGTCAAATTGACGCGTGTTCGTAGAGATAGTATATAAGAATTTTCATCACTCTGAAATCCAACGTATGCAATTCCCAAATCCGCAAAATTCTAAAAATCCCAAAACTCCCGCCTACAAACACCCTTGTCTCTGAAAAGCAGGAACTTATTTACACTTTAGAATCATTTAATACATTCGAATTTATTAGTAACAATATATTTAATGATTTTCGAGGTGTACATACTCAACTTTGTTTTGCAGAAACTTGACTGCGATTGAGATTGTTCTAACCTCACTGTTGTCACTCGTAATTTGTTAAATTTAAAAATTTCTACTTTTATGTACCTTTCACTATTTACTTCTATTAATACACCTATCAAAAGCGACCGAATGCCACCAGAACATCGAAGGAAATACATCAGTAGTACGACACGTTATTAATTAGAATTCCGTATGAATCGAACGTCCGTTGAATTTCGAAAACGGACAGAAGATTCATCGGTGCAGTAGAAATTGAAATTTCCAATTAAGCAGAGTGTATTGAACGTCTTAGGGAATTGTTTCCCGTTACAGAGATTGTCGTCGTTCATATAACAACGTCAAACAGTTTCAGGATGGACTAACGGTGACGGTACATTCATCCCGTATGTGACATACAATAGCGACGGGTCATTTGTACGTATTTACGAGGCAATTCAACGACTCGGTTAATTGGCTACGTAGCTGAAATGCGTTTGTGCCGACGACCCGGTTCCCTTAGGATCAATTAGACATCCTTTGGATACGCTCTTCCGATCGTTCGACGGATCTGGAACAATCGATATTCTTTGAACGACGAATCCTACGGAGCATCCGCTCCTGTAATTTCTCGCATTCCGCCCATTTACTAAGACGTACCCTGGAGCTGCTTAATATGGAACCCGCTTTATTAACCCTTTGTGCTGGAACATATTTTCGCAAATACAGCGACTTGGGAATATTAGAAGTTAGGAATTCGGGAATTGGAAGCTACCAGGACTTTGGACACTATAGAGACCTCGATGTTTAGGGTATATTCGATATTAGGGTTCGATATTTTGGCGATATAGAGATCTGGAAATATAGAGATTTCGTGACATACGAATTTAGGGTTCTGGAATTTTGGGATGTACTCTAGGGATTTTTAAATGTATAAGAATTTGGGTGTTTTGGGATTTTAGGATCTAGGGACTTTTGGATTATAGGGACGTCAGATTTGGGACTCTAGGGAATTCAAGATTCTAGAAATTTTGGATTTCTAAGAACCTTTCAATTCTAGGAATTTCGGAATTTTAAGGATTTTGAGGTTCTAGGGGATTTTAGGGGTTTTAGAGGTTCTAGGGGTTCTGGGAATTTTGGGCTTCTAGGGTTTTTGGGGTTCTAGGAATTTTGGGGTTCTAAGGCTTTTGGGGTTCTAAGGCTTTTGGGGTTCTAGGGGTTTTGGGAGTTCT